TTGAAAGCGTGGCACCAGACACCATGGTCAACCCAGTCATAACATTTTTTTATATATATATATATATATATATATCCCCAGAAACAATATGCAATGGTATCCGAAATTCGATAGCTTTCTCAACCAGGAGGCGAATAATAAAAATGACCTCGGCCGTCTGGTGCGCAGGGCGAAAGGCAAACTGGTTCGGCGACAGTGGCCGATCTGCAATGCGGCCTAGCTCGGACAGTATCTGCATATGAGCCTTCCATAGCACCGAGAGGACTGCAATGGGGCGCCATTTCTTAATGTGCAATGGATTGGTCATTTTCTCGATAAGATGAACATCGTGCTCGTCCCAGCCACAGGGCCCGTCCATCGATGGGTCATTCAGGAGTCTAAGTTCGAAGAGAGAGGCGAGGATCTCGAAGAAATCATCCGAGGCGTCCAGGAACATTTCGACGACGAGTAACTCACTTCGGGGGCATGACTTACCACGTTTCATACGAAGGAAAACTTGCCGAACTCGAGCGCCAGAAAGTTGGACGAGGCCCTCGAGGGCCGAACGGTCCCAGCGTTTCTGGATCCAATCAGGGAGCTGCATGACGTTTTTGGACCGATGCAAATCTCCGAAGAAGGACTCGGCAAGGTCTAAGATCTCCTGGGGGTCCGTCGTCAGGACACCTTGCTCGTTAAACATGGCCCCCTGCCAGGTCGGTGGCGGGACACTTCGGTCTGCACGACCTTTGGAGAGAAGCCAGTCGCACTCGTACGCGAACTTATTCTGCTGCAGCTGGCGGCGGATCATAGACTCAGCCGTGCAGTAAAAGTGTCGAAGCTGCTGCGTCGCGGCAGCTCGTCGGAGAGATCTGACGGCCTCGAGGTGGGTACGGGTGATTTCGTCTTCTTCTTTCTCTGGCTTGGGGGGGGGTCTCCGGTTGCGTCGATGTCCGTGATCGGCGGCGGCGGTCGAAATGGCGTCAGCCAGAAAGCGTAACGAGGGAAGGGGGCGTCCATGGGCATCCGTACAGGGTCTGAAAGGTTCCTCATCGGGCTCCAGTGGGGGCGTCGCGGGGGCGGGGGCAGGGAGCGGAGAGGTGGCGTGTTCGGACCGGCGGTGGCGGGGTCTCTTGCGGAGGGGGAGGCAGGCGGGGGGCGGGGTAGGGTCGGCCTCCAGCCGACGAGCGAAACACGGAGGAATCTTCCAGGTCGATTCTTCCCCAGGAGGCGGCGTCCAGGAATCCGTCAGCTTGCTCCAGGGTTCTCGCGGCCAGTAGGAAGGCGTGTAATGTCGCACACTGATTCGGGCGGGGTGGTTGGACCGAGGGTCCGCTCCTTCCTTGGCCAGTAGGTCGACCGCCGTGTTTCCTCGATCTTGAGAGTGACCTTTGCGCCACTCTGGCAAGCACACCTGATAGCGCCTGCAAACGTCCTGCCACAGCGCCAGCATGACGGACACCAGATTCAAATTAGATCGAGGCCGCCATCGTCCCCAGATTATCTGTTGGCAATATCGAGAGTCGAAGATCATCTTGATTTTGGCCTGAGGGGGGATCGTCCTGACGTTGTCGGGGAGGGAGTCCTGGAAAATCAACCACAGAAAGGCCTCAATGGGTGCCGTCAACTCTGCCGCGTTGTTCGACTCTCTACACGCTCCCACAAAGAGTGGGTCTTCAGGGCCAGTGCATACTGGTCCACATGCTGAGGCTAAAGGAGAGGAGCCTGCCGTCGGAGACGCCGAGGAAAAAAGTGCAAAGCCCCAACCAGCACGTCCTCGGAGGTGATCACGCGCACGCTTCCGATACCTAGGTAGTGTGTCGTAGAAAGAGCCATCCAGGAAGAGTCCGAAAGCCTCGTCGTCCCGAAAGAAACAGTGTACAGTACGATCGACCTCGAGGGCGTCGCCGAGAGCGTTTCGATAAGCCGTGATATCCGAACAAGTCCAGTTTATTGGTTTGGGAGGCGGAGGAGGGGAAGCCGCTGTCAGAGTCCAGTTACTGCTAGGATCGCGCACCCGCAGACGTAGATGTAGGGGAGATGATCAGAGGTGGTAGCAGTAGAGAAATCTACCGTACAACTGACCGTGCCCGTAGGGAAGTGCCGTGTGAGAACGTAGTCTATCTGCTTGGGGTCTCTACGCTGTCCAGGATCAGGAATATGTGTGTGAACACCGTACTTACACCAATGGTATGTATTTTCCGCCCGAAGATCTAGATCGCACATGGCAATGAATAACTCCTTGGCCTTCCAAGCTAACTTATCCAGAACAGGGGGTTCACCAGGAGGACGAGTATAGGGACCTATATGATCAGCAAAGAGATCGGAGTCGGCGACCGAACCGAGGTGGGCGTTAGCATCAACGCCGATAATAACCTTAGTCTCATTCGGGACTGAGAGGACGTGCTGACGAATCTCGCGCAGGCTCTCCATCAAAAGAGCCCTATCCTTTGACGGGTGCAGATGGGCGGAGCCCACCAAGACACGATTGTATTCTGGATGCTCGCACAACGCGCCGACGTAGCGGGCGCCCTGGACCACGCTCAAAATCTTCCAGCCACAGTCTCGATGGACAACGATCGCATTCTGCCTGTCCTTGCCACTTGGGGGGACCACAATAAGGCGATGTCCTTCGATCTGCTCTGGAGGTTCTGCTCGGCGAAGGGCGAGGCATTCCTGTAAAAGCAACATGCACCATGGGAATTCTCTCTCAAGGTCGCGTAGAAAAATTGGCAGCCCCTTCAGCGAGATCATTCTGACATTCCAAGAAAGAATACTGGAATGGTCGACCAATCGTCGCTGTCGCCATCTACGCATAGCAAGAGAAGTGCCGCCTCAGGGATCCGCCACAGCGTGGATCTCACCGAGGTGTGTCTGGAGCTTGAGGTCGATGTTCAGGTCCTGCAGCAACGCGTTCGCGGAGGGCGGGATCTTCATCTTGTGGGTGGTCCTGTCGCAATCGTACACTTTGATGGGGCCTCCCTGGTGGGCGTTCCCTGGCAACGACATCGGCAGGAAGATGACCTCCCCCCTGTCGTTCTTGATATCGAAGGCTGCGTCCCAGTTGTGCTGCGGGCTGTTCGGGAAGATGGCTGCCAGGACTGGTTTGAGCTCCGCCACGGCCTTTACCTGCTGCTTGCTCACGCCGATCTCCCAGCCGACTTTGTCGATGTTGTGCCAGAGAGCCGTGCGACCTGCCTGGCGGAGGGAGCCACCATTGAACTTTCTGCCTTTCATCTTCTTGAGACATACCCACATCTGGTCTGAGCTGTAGAAATGTACTTTTACACGTTCACCATAAGAACCAGTACCCACGACGCGCTCGTAGAGGATGTTCTCCCTGTCGAGCTCGGACTTGATCTGTGCCACCAGCTTGTCGCTAGCGTCGTATTTGAAGCCACCAACACATCTCGTTTTTCGTCTACCCATGGGAATGAACACTGCTGTGGATGCTGCCGAAATAGCCGCCGAGAGCGTCGTAGACAATGGTGTGTGCACTCCAGAGGCTGGGGTAGCTCCTCCGCCTCTCTGCTGCTGTCCACTCTCGTAGGCGTCCATGCGAGCCTCTAGGGCCTGCTGACGGGAGCTGAGGGAACGGACCTCCACGGAGACCGACGTGACGTTCTTTTGAATCTCCTCGATTTTCACCGTCTGTACCTCAGTGGCGTCCTTGATCATGCCACCCATGGCACGAAGGAGACGGGCTTGACCCTCATCAAGGCCTTCTTGCACTGCATGACGGGAGGCTGCGGCAGCTGCGTCGAAAGGAGCGGATAGCCGAGGCCTCTGCGCGGGAGGAGCGCCGAAGATGTCTCCGTCAATACCTATCGGCTCCATTGGATGATCACCACCACCACCAAACATTGCGGGCGACACTGGTTTGGTCAGGATGCAAAGGAGGGGGGCGATGCTCGCCAGTCGGATGCACTGGGAGCGGGTCAAAAGCGCGCGACCCCCCGTCATTCAGGACCTATCCTGAAGCACAATTGCTTGAGCCAAAATGGAAAAATGGAATCGGAATCGGAGAGGAGGAGGAGGAGGAGGAGGAGGAGGAGGAGGAGGAGGAGGAGGAGGAGGGGGAATCGGAATCGGTCGAGGTCGAATCGGATCGAGTCGGGGGAGTCGAAACAAGTCCTGGCCTCCCCCTTCTTTTCCCCTCCCCTGGGGTCCAAAATTCAGTTATGAGGGGGGGGGGGGGGGGGGCGAGCTCCCCGATGCACGTCTGGACCCTCGGAGCCTCAGATCGACCCTCCGTGGCCGCCAAGTTGCCCAGAATGACACTCGTGATGGACTCAACGCGTTCGCAATGCAAAATGCGCGCTGCCAGCACGGCCCTCTGTGGGGCCTCTGGAGCGAATCGCTGCGGAGGTGGGGAAGCGCTGCTGCAAACCCATCTTGCAAGAGGTGGGAAGCCCGTGCTGAACTGTGTGCGCAACCATCTTGCCGGAAGCCGAAGTCGGGCTGGCCTTCACATGACGCTCGAAGCAACGCCGGTGGGAGCCAGCGCGCGCAGCACTGGCATTTCCGCAACGCTGCGGCAGCACGCCGGAGAGGCCACAGAGCGCCCAAGACAGCTTCAAGACGGCCCACGACGCCGAAGAAGGGCCCCACGAGGACCCCCAAGAGGGCGCCAAGGGGCCAAGAAACCGTCGCCTCTGCATCGGCTTTTCAATGGGTGTCGCGTTCTCGCCCCGGCGGGCGTCTGCGAGCCCGAAGCGGCGCGAGGGGAGGCTCCACAGCGACGGGGACGATGCTCACTCTAAGACAAAAGAAGCGCGCGGTGCTCGCGCGCGGACCCGGTAGCCCTCAGCCTCTGGAGCTGAGGGCCCCTGAATCAGTTAGGGCGTTGGCATGCTCGACGTCAGAGAAAAGCACACTGTCAACTGCATGGAGGCCGCATAACTGTGTGCCCCTTCCTGGCGGTGTGCCTCTTGCCGCTCCTGGGCGGCCCCTGGCATTCGTCGAGCAATGAGGAGGCGGAGGAGGAGGAGATAAGGAAGAAGAGCCTCGGAGGAAGGGGCCGCCTTGATGTGCTTGGCCGCCGGCAGGCCGAAGAAGGTCGCGCACACGTCGGTGTAGAGCGGCTCCCCGAGGCCGGTCTCCTTCAGAGAGCCGCGGCGTGGCCAGAGGCAACCCTGACCCAATGAGGGCCGCAGGAGCTGCGAGCTGCCTGGGAGGACGGCGGCCTCTGGAGCACCCCTCGCTCGGCTCGGAGGGCCGCGGCGACTTCCAGACTGAGAGGAGAACGTTCGGGGGGGAAACTGGCTCAGGAGGGGGGGGGGCAACATCGACCTCGAATCGGCGATGCATCGCAGATAGATCGGCGAGAAGCACCCGACAGCGAATCCGCACGGTCCTGAGCGCACCAGCAGCCCTCGAAAGTGGCGACAGTTTCGCAGATCGCAGCCCCCCAGGGACGGAGAGGTCTCGCTCAGATCTGCGCGGTGTCTCACTCCGCTGGACCCACCGGCAGCCCTCGAAAGTGGCGACAGTTTCGCAGATCGCAGCCCCCCCCCCCCCAGGGACGGCGAGGCCTCGCGGGAGACAGGAGGCGGAAGGGAGGAAGGAAGGACGCGCTAGCAGTGCCCCATTCAGAACGAATACCCAACCAAGGAGGGCTGGGAAAAGCGAGACGCATCGCAGAACCCACACACACATATCGGAGATGGACAGACCTCCCTTTAGCAAAACGTGGTTTAGTGAAAACGACCTGAGGCCCAAACCTGGCGGGCGCAAGCCTGGAAAATAACGGCCACGGCGCCCTCTCGAAATCGAAAACGGACAATTCACTCATCGACGTGTCACTGTTGGGGGTTCTGTCCACCCCCGAACATACACACGGCGCCACCGCCGGGCCGCGCTGCAGCTGTGCTGCCCAGCTCCCCGCGCGCCCGCGGCGGAGGTGCGCGGGAGCGCAGCGGGCTGCCGAGCACCACGCCGAGGGGGCGCGCCGCCCTCCGCCCCGTCCGGACGCCGAGGGGGGCGCGCGCGGGCGGTCCTTGCAGCGGTCCAGCACGGCCACGCGCCGCGTCGTCTTCGGCACCGCGGCGAGGAAGTGCTGCGCACTCGGGGCCGCTGTTTGCCACGCCCCCGCGCGCAAGGAGGACGAGGGAGCCGAAGGCACTCCAGAAGCGGCGGGCGGAGACCAGCGCGCTGGGAGCCACGCACCGGCAGCCGTGCACATGCGCACGCGCACATGGTCGGCGGAGATCCTGTCGCATCGTGCCTGTGGTCGCGCTCCCTCCCGCGGCTCTCTGCGACCACCCCCGTTGACGAGAGCCTTCCTCGATGAGAAGGCGGCCCGCTACCGCCCCAAAATCACTGGGGCGGTGTTTGGCCGTCTGGGCACTTCGTGGGACTCTCTGGAGGGGATTCGAAGGCGTCCGAGGGGCATCTGGGACGGCATCGGGACCGCCTTCGGACCACGTGGGAGCATGCAGGCCAGAGAATTACAGGCTGGCAGCAAATAACTAGAATCAAAACATCCAAGACATTTGAGCTTGTCGTGCTTCTTCCTCGCCCGACCCCCCGCGCATCTTCTCGCGACCAGCCTACGAGATCAAACTTCGCTGAGATCTTGATTGCTCAAGAGATTGGCTTCAACGTAGCAACCAGCAACTGTCACCAGTCAGTGTGGCCATCACTCCTTTTGCTGGCAAACTCTGGATCTCGAGCCCTCCCCGTCTAGAGGGTCGCCTCCAGGGGCGGTAGAGGTGCACCTTCACGATGCCGATCTTCCTGCCAGGGCCGGAGTAGTCCAAGAACTCCTGGCGCACGCCACGAACGACGAACATACCCATACGAATGACCTCGCTGGCTGGACACCAGGAGGCGATCCTACGGATACGCGGCCCAACGGATACGCTCTGCGCGGGGCCTCCGCGCACAGCCGCCCAGTGTCCACGGGGTCGCGGCCGAGGCGTCTAGACTGGGGAAGCCACAAGGTACCGATACCGCTGCTCCCCGGACCTCTCCCAGGGTGCGTTCTGACCAGAACTTCGAGGCGAATCCGACGGTGGCGACGAGGGCCTCCGAGGAGGCCCAAAGAGGGGAAAACGGGCGCAGGGTAGTACAGTATGGGCACCTCTTCCTGCTCTGATAGGCAAGGAGGCCGTGGACATGGTTCCTGCCAACGACGACCGCTTGGGAGCTGGGGCACCGGCCGCGCGCACAAGCCCTGCGACCCCCGATGTCAGAGCGGCGAGAGGGGGGGGGGGGGGGGGCGAACGGTCTGGCGCTGTCCCTGGGTGCGCGGCTGCCGTGGGATCCAGCGGTGCGCACTCGTGCTCTTGCCAAACCCCGCCCCACGACCCACCCGCCACCCGCCCCGCGCCCCACCCCCGACCCGCCGCGCGTTTCGCCCAGCGGCCCGCCGACGACCCATCCGCGACGCACCAACACTCCCTGAGATCTGACGTTGCAAGACAATTGCAACATCGCAGAAAATCACGCCCAGACCCCCGGACCCCATCCTTCTGCGCCATGTTAAGGGCCGGATCGATCTGTGAGGGTCCCGGGGCCCGAAACTGCGCGAAAACGCCCAGCTCGAAAAAATTGAGTCGCCAGGATCTCAGGGCTGTGCTGAGGACATCGGCACGCCTGCCGCGGCCTCCCTGCGAAAGCGGCCCCCTGAGGGGGCCCGAGGAGGGCGAGACGCCTCTGCGCCTCGACTTGCCCACCGAGGCTTAGGTCGGGCATGCCCTCCTACAGGCGGATTTCGGAGGAAAAAACTAACAATATACCAAAAATGCTCAAAAATACGCAGTAAAGTACTAGAAAATCGTCCCCAGACTACTTCCTGACTATTTTTGAATATCCTTCCTGTAGAAGGACATGCCTGACTTACACAGAGGCGTGGAAAAGCACGGGGCGAGCCGACGCGTCGGACCTGGGCGCCAAAAATGGCCCGGCGCTGCTGCGCGCGGAGACCCCGCTCCCTGGAGGCCGAGCCGCCTCGGTCGGGCTGGACCGGCTCACCCGGCCCAGCACCTCCGCGCCTCCTGCCCGAACCCCCTCGCGCTGTGAAAAGATCACGACCGGAGGTTTTCCCGTATCTTCGGCCTCTGGGGGGCCCCCACCGGGCCTCGGGACCGTCAAAAAACGGCTCAGGATAGAGAACCGGTCCCGGGGAAGGGGTCGAGACCTCTGGGGGTCGAAGTTGTGAAAAAGTTACGACGTCAGGGGTCTGGTTGAGGACTCGCGCCTTGAGCCCTCGAGACCCCTCGAGGACCCGTGCCTCGTGCTGAAGACACGCCTCGATGCCCCATCTTCGAGTTCTGCCAGCGGTAGCCCTGGGCCCCCAAGGGGGCCCCCAGCTTTTCGGGGGACCCCTCGCCCACGGTGCTCCTGCCACCCTGGAAGGACCTCTTCGGATCGAGCCTGGTCGATATGCGGTGGGCAGGGGCCATCAGCCCAAGCAACAAGGAGCGCTGGCCGACGCCTGCAAGGGTGCACTCTACAACGCCGCCGCTCGCGGACCAAGTGGAAGGAGGCGGTACCGAGAAGCGCGCTGCTTCCACGTTGACACCGTCGTGGCCATAGTGCCCTGGCCCTTTCCCGCAACCGCGTGGTGCAGCGGCCCTTGTTGGGCAACTTTGAAGGGGCCCTGGGACACACAAATAAATACACACAAATAAAAATATCCCCCATGTTTTCCCATATTTTCTAGGTTTTTGTCCCCCCCCCCCTCACTTCCCATGTTTTCCTATGTTTTCTGGGGAATCGACGATTAATTGTGTCTGTGTGTTCCTTTCCCTCCTGAAACTTGCATTGCAGTAATCCCTTGACTGGGAGACTGCCATCAGCGCCCCCCGACGCATGGAGCCCGACATGCATCCTGCCGATCCCCGTGGCCGGCCGCACGCCACCACGAGCCGCTCGGCTCTGCGCAAGGAAGGTTACCTCCTGACACCGATAACGTTGCTCGTGCTCAGCTCCTCCTCCTCCTCCTCCTCCTCCTCCTCATCCTCCTCCTCCTCCTGCTCGTGCCCAGCTCCTCCTCCTCCTCCTCCTCCTCCTCCTCCTCCTCCTCCTCCTCCTCCTCCTCCAGAAAGGCGCAAACTGTGCATTCACACCGACCCTGGCTGGGCCGATCACGGGCCCAGGATCGAGGCATACGCCCTCCGAGCTCGGCGCCAGGGAAGCGTAGACACCGATCCCGAGCCCGGGCCAGGCGCGGCGTCGGTGTGTAGCTGGCGGCCCCCGATGCCGCGTCACCATTTCAATCGCATGGGCCTCGCAACTCTACTCAGAATCACCAACAGCCACGGCGCTTGCTGGCCGTGCCGCTGAGGCCGTTGATCTCATTGGCGTTCTCACCGGCTTCACTCTTGTGGTGTCACCACCGCTACAACTTTCCACTTCATGACCTTTTTATCATTCACATGCGCCTGGTGTTGTCACGCGTGCTGCCCCCTCTCGTAGCACTCCTGACTGCGAATATCCTCATCCTCCTGATCCTCCTGCTCAAGCTGACGATCCTCCATGACCTGCGCACCGCAGCCCATGATGACCACCACGTCGGTGGCGTGCGGGTGGCCGACGTACTCGAAGATGTCGTAAGAGCGGCCTGTGGGCTTCGCGGGGGGCGGGGCGGCACATATTGGGGAGACGCACGACTCGGGTTCGGGGGGACTCGGGCTGGCCTGACGGGGCCGTCATGAAAATGACGAGACCCCATCGGAAATTTGACGCGAGCTCCCGCTGCAAACATCGCACGAAAACTGGACCGCCAAAGCCCAGGACGCGCTCGTCAAAAAACGTCGGCGGACCCGAGTCCTGGCGTACTCGAATCATACGTTTCCCCGAACAGTGGCGCGCACGGCGCGCGCGCCACGAAAGCCCGAAGGTCACTCCCAGGCGCGACGTGCCCCGGCGCGCGACGTGCACCGGCGGCCGCGCCGGGGGCCACCCCCCACGCGGGCACACGGCGGGCGCCCGCAGCGCGCCCCCCGAGCAAGGGCTGCACCGAGAGGAGGGGTCGCGCGTGCTCTGCAGGACTTGGACGAGCTGGCTGCCGCACTTGCCGGTGGCTGCCAGGTTTCCTGCGCGGCCGTGGCGGGTCAGGCGAGGGCTGACCCGTGGGCCCCTGCCTGGCCCCGCTCCGCGCGCGGGGGGCGCGCGAAAACCCGCCCCGCGCACCTCCCCCGCCCCGCGCGGGCTCGGCGCGCACGGGGCTCCACACGCACGCAGGGTTGCACACATGGGGCTTCACACGAGTCCACGCACAGACGGGGGTTCTACACATGGGCTCCACACAGCTAGGGTTTCCACTCACGCTGGGTTCCACTCGTAGGGCTCCCTACATATCGGATCACGCACGCACACAGACACACACACACACACACACACACACTCACACACACACACACACACGCACACTTTTTGGTCGTCGCGGGCGGGAAAGTCTACTCGCCGTCAAACGTCCGCGCGGCAAGCTGCACGAGCACCCAGTAGTCAGAAGAGAAAGAAGAGAGAGGACAGCGGCCAGACGTCCACAAGGCGGTACGGCGACGAAGCAAGGAAGAGGCCAAGTTGGCCCGAATCGGGCCACACACACACACACACACATACACACACACACACACTTTTTGTTGCGTCGGCGGCTGGGCAGAGGGCGACTGCTCTGGCGGATTGGCAACAGGGGACACGCTGTATGCAAATCAGGGCCGCAAAGCACGGAAGGAGGAGGAGGAGCCCCGGCGCGACGGGGAGAGAGGAGGCCGGGCCACTCATAGCTGCCGGCTGCGGCGGGGGGGGCGCCGGGGGGGAGCAGCGCCGACACAGGCTGTACTGAACTGCGCTGAACTGAAGCTGGGGGGGGGGGGCGGCCAGGGGCTGCATCAGGTGGTGAAGAGGAGACGAAGTGCAAGCCAAGCCGGAGGACCGAGCTCCGCAGACACAGGGTTCCGCACACGGGGCTCCACTCGTAGGGCTCCACTCACGCAGTGCCACCCGAGTCACTTGTGTGGGCCCCACGCGCTGGCGCCCTGCTCAAGTGGCCTCTGGCCTCCGAGCGGAGGCGCACACAGGGGGAGCGCAGGGCGGAGGACCAGAGTGTCGTGGGTGCGGAGGCGCAGTGCCCACGCGGGGTCCCGTTGCTGCTGCTGCGGCTGGGGGTGAGCCCGCTCGCTCGAGCGCGCCGGGTCCGGGGCCGATGAGGAACAAGGAGGAGGAGGGCGAGGGGCATGCGCAGGGGAGATGGACGTGCTGGTCCGAGGGGCCGACCCCGCCGACAGGGCAGAGCGTGCAGCTCCGCCTGGATCTGGGCCGGACCCAGAGTCACCCAGAGGGCGCGGACTGCGCGCCTGCACCGATCGAGGCCCGCCCTGGGCCCGGGCTCGGCGCCAAGAGAGGCTCTCCTGGCTTCCGCTCCGGGCCCTGGCCTTGGCCCGGCCAGGCCCCGCGCACGAAGAGAAGTCTGCGCGCCGGGCTCGGGTCGTGGCGGCGTCGGCGCTGCTTTTTCCGGCACCGCGCGCACGGCGCCACCTGGAGCGAGTGCGGTTCTCCAACAGCGCAGAGCGCTCGCTGCCACCCCATTCCAGGCCACTGGGGGCGTCCAACCTCGGGGGGCGTCCAGGAGAGGGGCTCGCAACTCGTGGCCCGAGGCACGTGCGCGGCCCAGGGGGAGGGGGCCAGGAGACGCATTGAAATAGGACGAAGCGCCATGCAGTCTAGGGAGAGATCATGGCCCTGGGCATGATGTCCACCCTCCTCAGTCCTCACCCCCCTCTTGGCCGCTCCGCAGGATGTCCACCCCCCTGAGTCCTCACCCCCCTCCGCCCCGGATTCTCCAGCCTGCCCCCTCGGACGCCTGAGGTCTCCGGGACGGGTCCCTGCGCGGCCCCGTCTGGGACGGGCAGGGGGGCCCCTGCTTGGGCCCTGAGCGTGGGCCCCCTGGCAGCAGAGGGCACCCAGGGCCCTCCTGAGCGGCGCGGGCCGCCCAGGGACCCCTAGAGCGTTAGGTCGGGCATGTCCTCCTACAGGCGGATTTTTTTGTTGGGGGGGAATCGATCATGGTACCAAATAGTCGAAAGATCGTCCCCTGATTTTTGCTCGACTAGTTTTGAACATTCCTCCTGTAGAGGGACATGCCCGACTTGACCCTCACGCCCGCCGCCCGCCCAGCTGGCCCTCGGCCCCTCGGCCCCGCCTTGCGCGACGGCACCTGCTGCGGCCACTCCCCGCGCCGGGACCGCTCCGCCCCGCCCGCCGCGCGCTGCCGCTGCGTCCGCGCCGCGGGCCTCTCGGCGCCCTTCTCCGGGCGCCTGACCCCCCTGCGCTCGCCGCGCGCAGGGCTGGCACACCCCGCGCCACCCTCGGCCCCGACTAGGCGAGCGCGCTCCACGACTCGCACAAGAACTGCTCGCCAATGGCCAGGAGCCGCCGCGGGGGATCTGCGATCAGTCACTTCGAAGCAGACACGTGTTTTCGGACGCTTGCGAGCAGGCACTCTGCGAGCAGTGGCGCGCGCTCGGTGACCGACGCCTGGCGCCAATGGACCGAACTGCCGGGGCCCCCGCCCAGGCGCGCCGTGCCGCCGCCAGGCGCGCGCCCGCAGGAGCGCAGGGCGCGTGCGGAGCCCAGCTGCCGCTCACCCCCACTCGGCACGGAGGAGGACGTGGCGGGGGAGAGAGGCGAGGGCGGCGCGCGCACGGGGGCGGGACGAGGGGCGCGACCCTGCCACGAAGGGGGAGGGCTTCCCGCAGGGCGTCGGGAGCTTCCCAGAAGGCCCGCCACGTCCCACACGTCCCGCGTTCTCCGCCAGCCCTTGGGCCCCGCCCGACACCCGGCCTGGAGGACGGGGCCTGCGCGAGGGGGAGGACTGCTTGACCGTCTCTGCGCGGCCTGCCAAGGGCGGCGGGCAGCCCGGGCGCGCCGCGCGCGCCCGCCCAGCCCCGTGCCGCGCCAGAGTCGGAGCGAGCTCCTCGGCCGCGTCGGCCACAGAGACCCGCAGCCGTGTTCGGCGCGGCGCCCTCTGCTCTGGACCTCTCCGGCGCTCGCACGCAGAAGACGTGCCACCTTGCCTTGCCAGGGCCAGCCCGGGCCCCGGCACGGTGTACACGCCCTCCTGGCCTCGTCCAGGAGCGCCTGCACGCCATCTCAAGGGGGCGCGCGACCGCCCTGGCCAAGCGTGGCGGTGACCTGCGCAGGCCTTCCGCGGGGCTCTGGCCTGGCGCCTCGGCAGAAGCAGCAGCAGCAGCAGAAGCAGCAGCAGCAGCAGCAGCAGCAGCAGCAGCAGCAGCAAGGCTGGCATCTTTGCCAGCCCCGCGCGGGGGGCGGCGGCCTGTCAGCTCCTTCACCCACACCATGGCCGTGCGGACCGCCTCGGGCACGGCGTCGTGGTACTTGTTGGCGCTCTGGGAGCCGGGCGTCGGGCGCCAAGCGCGGAGGGGGCGACGGAGGCGGCCGACCACGACGGCGGCGGCGGCGGCAGCCGCGGCAGCGAAGGCTGCGGCAGCGGCGAATGCGGCGGCGGCAGTGGCGTCGAGTGGAGGCTGGCGGCACGCAGGAGGGGAGGACGACGACGACGACGACGACGACGACGACGACGACGACGACGACGACGACGACGACGACGACGACGACGACGACGACGACGACGACGACGACGACGACGACGACGACGACGACGACGACGACGACGACGACGACGACGACGACGACGACGACGACGACGACGACGACGACGACGACGACGACGACGACGACGACGACGACGACGACGACGACGACGACGACGACGACGACGACGACGACGACGTTTTTAGGGGGTTGCGTTGCCTCTCGGGGGCTCTGAAAACTTCTGCGGGACTGCCTGCGGTTAACCAAAACGGTGAACAAGCGACGATGGACCTCCGAACAGCGCACTGGTGGCTTGCTCGCTGCAGAAAGCGACAGAAAGCAATACCCGACAGCGCCTGGGGTAGCCTCCCGAGGCCAGCAGCGTTGCGCCGTTCCCCGTGCTGCCGCTTCTGGCCGAAGGCCTCGATACTGGACGTCCCCATGGTTTTTCAACACGTGGCCCCGTGTGTGGGCACGCGACATCCCCGTCGCGTCGGCGACATGCGAGCGGGGGACGGACTCGCACCATCGACAGGCCATCGCTGTTGGATGCTCATTCTGGGGATCTTCCTGGAGACACTCGCTCTACTCGTGCGTCGAAGCTGCGTCGAACATCTGTCGATTTGAGCCGACACTGAGTCGAACCTGAGTCGAACTTGAGTCGAACTTGGATCGGACTGAGGTCGAGCTAGAGTCGAACAGATCTGTTAGGTGGACCCCAGGAAGGTCCCCAAAACGAGCATCTAATCGCTGGGATCCTTCCTCCCCCCCAGCGAGGCCACAGGGCCCCTCGACTCCCTACTGGGGATCAGCGCTTGTCATGCCAGAGCCGCTCTCGAGAGCCCCATAAGGCGACGAAATCTATACATGTCCACTGCTGCCTGGCCAGGCCCATCCTGAACCCAGCAGCGATGTATACGCCACGCCCTCCCCGCTTGGCAAAGAAGGCGTCTACACAGATCCTGGGCCAAGGGTGGGCCAAGCCAGGCGGCAGTGGATATGTATAGATTTTGTCGCCCGAGCCCAGAGCTCACGTCCGAGATACCTGGAAGATCTCCGCCCTGCTGATGCTTTCGAGGCGGTGGAGGTCCGGGCGCAAGGCCAGAAAACGTCCACATCCGCAACTCATAGAGTCCCGCCCTGGATCCGAGGTGAGCAGTGGATGTTGGCGCAGGGGGGCCGCGCCAACATCCGCGGAGGAGGGCGCAGCTGCCTGGGGTGCGCGGCCCACACGCAGCCCCAGGGCTCCCCAGACCGTGTGGAGCCAGACGGGTCGACCACACCTTCCTCCTCCTCCTCCTCCTCCCCCTCCTCCTCTTCCCCATCATTATCCTCCTCCTCCTCCTCCTCCTCCCTCCTCCTCCTCCTCGTCCCCCCTCCTCCTCCCTCCTCCTCCTCCTCCTCTCATCATCATCTCATCATCATCATCATCATCATCATCATCATCATCATCATCATCATCATCATCATCATCATCATCATCATCATCATCATCATCATCCTCATCATCTCCTCCTCATCCTCATCATCCTCATCATCATCATCATCATCATCATCATCATCATCATCATCATCATCATCATCATCATCATCATCATCATCCTCATCCTCATCCTCATCCATCCTCATCCTCATCCTCATCCTCATCCTCCCTCCTCCTCCTCCTCCTCCTCCTCCTCCTCCTCCTCCTCCTCCTCCTCCTCCCCCTCCTCCTCCTCCTCCTCCTCCTCCCCCTCCTCGTCCTCGCCCTCCTCCCGCCCATCGGCGGGAAGACATCCTTTTCCACCGCTCGTCGAGGGGCCTTCGAGGTCCCGAGGCCTAACCCCGAAACGGTGGGTCCTGAGCATCGTTTCGCCGATCCCTGTCCTGTCCCCATGAGCGCGGCCTGGGCCCCACAAGCCGATTTACCCCCCGAGACGGGGATGTAGGCGGTTCCCTTCGAGCTTCGAGGGGTGTATCTACAACCAGGGTGCTGAGATCGTCGGGCTCGGGACGGAATGGGGATGGGGATAGGGGTCGGTTACACGATATTGAGATCACGAATTATTCTGGCCTTTGACTGAGAGTACACACACACACACACATTTCACTCCGAAGCACCGAACTGGAGCTACTGCTGCTACTGCAGCCACACACCGCTCAAAGTTCGCCAGAGGGAGAGGTAGGGGGGAGGTGGAGCAAGAGGAGGGAAAGGACAGACAGAGAGCATTGCCCAACCCAGCTCCTGCCGCTGCTGGCGAGGCCTTTGCCAACAGCAGAAGAGGGGAAGGGAGGGAGAGCTCCCAGCGGCCTCCGCGGGCAAAGCCGCACTCGTCTCGCGTCCGCCGGCTGACGCGGGTCGTCCGGCGGCCCCTCCCCCGACGGCGGAAGCGGCAGCGGGGCAGTGGGGCGGGGCAGCAGCGGAGACGTGGAGACACGCCGGGACACGAAGAGAGCTCGAGGTGAGGAGGAAGGTTTAACCTCCAGGGCTGGATGCCCTCAGTTGAAGGGAGCCAAGTCGAGGGAAGAACATGCAATTAGACTCCCTTCATCAGAGCTGAAGGCCTGAGGGGAGGAGGAAGAGGAGGAGGAAGGGGAGGAGGAAGGGGAGGAGGAGGAGGAGGAGGAAGAAGAAGACGAAGAAGAAGAAGAAACAGAAGAAGAAGAAGGAAAAGAAGAAGAAGACGAAGAAGAAGAAGAGGAATAATAAAGGAAAGGAACAAAAAAACAGAGGAGGATGAACAAACAGAAGAGGAGGAGTGAACGCCCCTGGGGAGAGTCCTGGATCCAGGCCGCACTGCTACGACCTCGTGAGAAGCTCTCGCGCTCTGGCAGAGCACTTGGCGATAGCTCTGCACCTGGCCTCCATAAGGGGGGAAACGAGGGATTCGGAGCACCTGTCCTGGGATCGACGGGAGTTGAATGTAGATAACAACAGATCAGCAGCAATAAGGAAGCAGAAGAGGAGGAAGAGGAGGAGGAGGAGAAAGCGGAGGAGGAGGAGGAGGAGGAGGAGGAGGAAGATGAGAGGGAAAAGGAGGAGCAGCAGCAGCAGCATGAAGAACCTCCCGCCGTCCCCTAGGATGTCCAGCAGAGGGGTCGAAGACCTCCAGGAACCCCCGCAAGGCTACTGAGGATCCCCCCGCTCCGCAGGAGTCGGGGGGATGGGAAGGGGAAGGAGAATAAAGGAGGAGGAACAGGAGGAGTCGAGAGGGAGAAGCAGGGAAGAAGGAGGGAGGGAGGAGCGAGGGAGGGAGGAGGCCGAAACCGACCCGCTAGTCCTACGTGTGGCCACGACGGCTGTGGTAACAGGGCAGGCACCAAGTAATGAACATCACACATGCGATCCTCTTTCACGAGCCCTCTCCCTTGTCCGCCCCCCTTCCCTATCATGTCGCCTCTCGTTCCCTGGAGAGCCGTGGGCCACACGTACTTCCAGAGGGCAGAGACGATGGAGTACTCTTTCTGGGATCACCCGTGAGCTCTCCCGGGTGCCTCGCCCCTGGCGCGCCTGCGAGCAGGAGCGGTGCCTGGCTGCAGCAGCACAGCCGAAGGCTCATACAACAAGGAGCCTCGGAACGAGCGGCCATTCGCAGAGCCTGTGAGGTTGGAGGCATGGCCAGCTCGAAGCCTGCAGAGGGGCAGCTCTCGTAAGAGAGTACCCCTCGGAGACGGCGAAGGAACACACGCTCGACACGAGCACTCGGACAACGAAGATCTCCGTAACCAGCTCAGGGGTGAGGGGCAACGATAGGGGGGGACTGTCATAGGGGGGATGCATCGACCTGGAATCGGCGAGACATCGCCGATAGATCGGCGATAGGCCCCCGATAGTGCATCCGCACGCTCCTAGGCAGGTTGGGGCCATCGGTCCCTATCGGCGATCGATGGGCGATTGGGGGTCGATGCATCCCCCCCTGTGCCTATTCCCCCCCTATCGTTGCCCCCGAAGGGGCCATGTGCCACGGCCAGTGCTCTCGACGGGTGCGGCTCGTACAGCGGCAGAACTGCCCCCCGAGCAGCTGCGAGCACCGGCGGGGCACGCCCAGGCAGCGAGTCCATCGATCTCTCGTGGAGGGGGGAAAAAACGGTGACCATGGCCAGGAGTGAGCGCGGAAACGTCGTTGTCGATCTTGGTCACCGTCCATCTTGGTAACGGTCAATGCGGGGATGCTCCTCGCGAATCGGCGACGGCCAGCATGGACCATGACCAAGACGGGCGTCGGCCAGGTCCCGCTATATAGCTTGGTCATGGTCATCATGTGCTCCCCTTGGCAAGCGGTCCACGAGCCCTCGAACATGTCCGCAGCACCATGTAACCGCTGGCTCGCCTGCCGGGCCACCAGGCTAAGAAGCCTCCATGATGGCCACAAGACGACTGAGGAGAGCGTCAAGATAGCCCAAGAGGCCTCTAAGATAGTCTCAACACGGCCCAAAAAGGGCTCCAAACTAGCCCCAAAGCCTCCACCATTGGCGATTGCTCCCCTCGCGCGCCACCGTTTCCCTCGTCCGTCCTGGGTGACATATTCCATGGGCGGCATCCGCCGCAAGGCTTTTGCGACGTCCGTAGCGCACAGATTCGGCTGGCTCGCCTGTGGGGCCACCAGGCTACGCGGGTCATGTTCCCTGCCAAGGAGCCCGCATGTGTGGATGCTTACATTCAGGTCAAGGTTTTATGCTTCCCGAAACGTTTGCCGCCATGAGGCGTGGGATCTCCCCAGCATGGTAGAAATCGTCCGAAATCTTAGCAAGCGCCCATGTGTATGGTGTACTCACTACAGCAAGTAACGATCCATATGTTCTGAGATGTGCTGCT